TCTTTTCCCTCCTATTTCTTCAAATCCTTGTATCTTTTTATTCGTCCTACGTTACATTGATAGTTCGAGATTTATTAATCCTTTTCTTCTTATATATCTATTTTTAATCATCTCGAAATCAGTAATTCTCACATCTTTCGATTTGCTTTGTTTTTAAATTAATTGTTCGAAATCATCGGTGTTTAACATTATCAGACACTTCTATATATATATATATATATATACGGTCTTTGAATCATTTTCAGTTCTACATGTATGCATGATTTTTTTACTTTTAATTTTATGTTGAGAGTTTCTTTTTCTTCTTTTTTTTTCTTTCGAAATTTCATCTTTGTTTGCTAAAATGAAAGCTAGATTGAAATATAAAAACTCGAAGATTATAGCGGAATTAATCAAATTGGCATACTTAATACTGAGAAGCAGAAAAAATATATATTCTGCCATTTTATTTATTTTATATAGTTTTATTCGTTCACTAAGTTTCAATTCGTGCCTACTATATTAAATACATATTTGTACACAATATTGTACATATAGTTAATGATTAAATTTCATGCGTTCTAAAATGAATTTTTATTACAATTTTATATCAATCAACTCAAAATGATTGCGTAATTAATATCTCTACCGCGAAAATATATTTTTTACATTAAATCATTGTCAGATAAAGCAGTAAATTTACAAATTTTTACAATTATCAAAAATTTATCTATTACAGCTGATCTTAATTCATAGTAATACATGATTAATGTTACTCAAACTGCTTGGATATTTACTTGAGATACTCGTTTTAAATAATCTTCGTCTTAACGAAGCGAATTTCACATCAAATGTTCTCTATCCGTCACTTCATTCTTTATTTATCTTATTTCCATCGCAGCGGCAGTGTAATATTTCCATCCTGCACGACAACCAGCAGCTATGATATTTACAGTTGTAACCTCGATTCGAGATGAAAGGTGAAAAAAGGTTGGAGCACAAAATGAAATATTAAACTAGGCGTTGCTGTTTTTCCCAGAAAAATTACCAAACGAAAAATTAAACAACGAAAGTAACTAGCCTGGACAGAGCAAGATAATAAACTGGATAAGCGAAGGAGAGTTTCGGGGGTGCAGATTCGAAAAAAAAAAAAAAAAAAAAAAAAAAAAAAAGAAAGAAAAAAAACGAGAGGAAATCTTGGAAAACCGAAAATTCACGTATCGCCCTTCTTTGGGAGGAAAAATTCTGCGCGCTACGATTTAGTGAATTTTCCACGAGAGGGGTGTGTACTTGTCTCCATGGAAGTGGCACCGCCCCTAAAAGGGATGGACCAATCCCGTGGATATAAACCAACCCCTGTTCCGCACGTAACTCAGAGCTTGATCGAGGGTGAACACTCGGAAAGGAGAGACTTCAGTTTTCTCGGTGTCGTCTATCGAGAACGATAAAACGACTCTCTCTCTCGCAGTGAGACTCCAGGCTAAAAGAAAAGAAAAGAAAAAAAAAAAAGAAGGAAAGCAAGGAAATCGCAAAACTATATACTCACTGGTAGTTTTGCCGAACAAGCGATCACGAGAGGATGGCAGGCCCGTATTTATCACCTTTAGGCCCTCAGGCTGACTTGCTTACCGAATATATGTTTGGAAGACGTCGTCAGGTCAGTGTACGTTTCTTTTTCGCTTCGTTTTTTACTTTCATTTTTCTTTATATTTTGACACGTTCGTGTGCTTCTATTGTTGAAAAAAAAAAAAAATAATCCATCACGTAGAACCATTATTTCCCCCAGCAATCTGCTGCTCTTCTTTCGTTATTATAATTCTTCCTTTCGTTATCAACCCTTTGAGTATCTAGAATTTAAAAAAAAAAAAAGAAGTTAAAAAGTTTGATACTGCAAATTAAAAATGCACGTACCTTTTGATATATGTTTGTTCAATATAGTGTAATACGTTAGCCTCTAATGAGAGATCTAATTATTTTATTATTGATTATAAGATTACCTGTAAAATAGCTTAATACGGATTATACATTCAAAGGATTAATAGACTACAGATTTTTATGCAAATTTACATTTTCGAAAATATAGTAAGAAAGCTTGGTACAAACGAATAAAAAGAGTGATTTAATTTAGGAGCCGATGCAAATTTTCACTTGTTATTATTCCTTTATATAAGGATCAGCTTTCATTTGTAATTTTTTTTCAATCAATTCACACTGCCAATTCAATTTCATTTATAATTCTTTTTAAATTCTTCAATTTACATTATCAAATTTCCCTTTCCAATATTGCGGCTGTGAAATGAGATTCCGAGGATTCGTTTAATATATATCTTTCCATTGATGTGTCTTCCACCTAATATAGTTTCATGAAATTTCAAATGATCAAAGCTTTTATCAATTTACTGCAACTGGAAAATATTTTAGACACAAGCGGTGATATACAAAATAATAAATGAAGCAATAAACATTTTGTGGTCAATGATTTGCACGTGAACAATTTCTGTTATTACAAAAAAAAAGAGTTTAATTTATCAATCTATATTACGTTTACATTCTATTATAAATCATTCATTTATGTCTTTTAGAAAATTATACTTGATTTATTTATTTTGTGCCAGGAGTCTAAGTACTTTCACGCTCAAATATGTAAAATGATTTGTAGTTTGTAAAATGTTGTACGTTGTATTTTTAAAGAATTACAAATGATTTATCATCGACAGAAATAATGTAATAATTAGCTACAAGTATCTACAAGTGTTTTGTTATTATATTGATAGATAAAGATGAAGATATCTTCATTTGTTTGTAATAAAATAGCATAATGTAATAGACACATCTGTTACACACTTAATAGCATATTTAAAATATGCATGAAATTCTCTACTTTATAAATAATCTACTGTGCGAGTTTTATTAAACATAAAAATTATTCGAACTACGAGCTATTGTGGAATTAACAGTGACAATCAATGTCAAATACATACATATGTAATAAATACTCGAGATACAAATAAATTGTAGAAAAAGATTGAAAAATGAACGAAAGTATTATATTTTATTGACAATTATTTCTATTAACTTAATGCTTATACATTGTGTTTCTGAAATAAATAATTGCATTCATTCGATCACTTATGATTTTTATCTTCCTATCTATCGATGAATTTTTCGCTAAAGTTTGAAGTATTTTCTTATTACACGTAGCTTTCGTGCATGCTTTTTTTCTATTCCTTATCTACCAAACTTCTAAAACAATCTTTAACTGCTACGTACAAAACGCATGCATATTAAACATTGCATTAATGCATAATGTACATAAACAAGACAAAGTGATTGGCACCTAGCGCTAGCTATCATCGTATTAAATAATAAATAAAAAAATCTACTTATTGATATTTATTCAATTTGAATTTCATGATTTATCTTATCAATATCTAGATGTAATTACGTATAAAAATATATTTGATCACATATGTATCTATATTCATTGGGTGAAATAAATTTATAACATCTTATGTTCTTTTTAACAGTGAAGTGAAATAAGATGAGATAAAACGAGATAGAACTCTAATCGTAGTTTCTATGTAATAGATCTGGTTCTCTTCCTACTTTCTCGTATTTATTTACTAAATGATTCGAAGCTCTTTTTTATATTCTAATATTTATGTTTAACTATATCAGTGATATTCTAATTTCGCTTTTTAAAAATATATTATATTCTTCTTTATTTGGAAGAAATTATTTTTATTACTTTCTAACGCATAACATAGGCACACTTGCATATAGATAATGAAGAGAAATTCGACAATGGGAAAATTTAGAAAAGTTTAGCAACTCCCTGCAAATTTTCAGTTCACGTAGTTATGTACTAATGACGGAATAATTCTTTTTTTTTTTTTTTCTTGCTCAAAGAATGATTCTAAGAATGAAAATGCCTCTCCAAAGAATTTTTGAGTTTTTTATGTTATATGAGTGTATAGTGCTATACGAAATTATACAATGTAAAATCCATTAAAATACGAGTTGATAGAATGTCATGATTATAGAATAGTCAGAAATTTTTGAATGGACGAATGAGTTTCAAAAGAAACAGTATAGTTCTCCATAAACACGTCTGACATCCATTTGATGCTTATAGCAAAATCCCATCTTAAATTTTAAGGAGGATGTTGAATTATTATTCTTTAGAATCTACATTGTGTCGCACAAATATTTTCAATAAATTTTGATAATTATCGACCATAAATAGATAGTACAATTTTTAATTTAACTTTTTTTCTATATATAATATTTTATATATCTTCTTTTTCTAAAGGGACGTTCAGATCATCAATGAATTGTCAGTATTATCAATGTTTTACCGTTCTCAACATTGATCGTGTGAGAATCCCTTACTTGAATGTTGATTATCTTGAAATATTGGCAATATGCAATAGATATATTGATAGATAAATTTGAATGTTTCATTACTTTAAAATGTTAAAACTTCAGGAGCGTGCAGGAAACTGATAAACTAAGAAAAATTGTCTTTAAGAAATTTGCTCATCTTACGAGAAAATTACGAAAAAAAGACACAAAAAGAGTTTCATTTGTTACTTATTTATTCACATTTGTTCTCTTACATTATCATCTTAACTGTTCAAAATGTTGGCCATTTGCAGCAATGCAAACATTACATCGAACATTCTGATTACAGTTAGATATTTTTCTGGTGATATTTTGGCATTCACGATAATACAAAAAAGATCAAAATTTTTCTTATCCCTAGGAATACTTCTTTTGCCAGAAAAAAGGATTATTCCGTTATTATGATGACGATAAAACTGCATTTAATGCAAAGTTTCAAATCCTTTTGAATTTCTCAGTTCAAATCTTCCTTCTAAGTTAAAGAGCATGAGACACGTATTTAAATATTTAGATTTATATCGAATATAGTAAATATTTGAATATTAATATTACGGTAGTATAAATATTATATTCATTAATGAATTGTTTATCATATCTGAGTAGAGACGCAATCGGACAACTTTCACCCCACAACAACTTCAAGAATTGGAGTCGCTGTTCCAGAAGACGCACTATCCGGACGTTTTCCTGAGAGAGGAAGTCGCTCTTAGGATCTCACTCTCAGAGGCTCGTGTTCAGGTTAATAAATATAAAAACTTCTTTATTAACTTGTATTTATTTTTATTTTTCTATCATTGTCAAATTAAACGGCGAAAGTTTTGGAAAGATCCACATATTATTTTATATATAGGAAATCGGATTACTATTTATGCTGTTTAAATGTATATAAATGATATTTTATTTCATAACAATTTTAGAGTCTTCTCTCGCAATATTAAAATCGATTGTGATATAATTACGATTACAATTAAGTTAAACATAAAATAAATAATAGTCTCGCATAGTTTGACTAACAGTTTAAATTCTGTGTCAAAATTCTCCAGGTATAGTTAATCTTTTCCCAATTTATCGATGAATAGAGAAACTTCGAAAAAGTCTCTTCCGCAAGAGTAAATTCGAACTAATACAACTTGTACAGCCATTTTATTTTTCGTTATTTGATGGAATCAAGCTATACTACGTATACTATTATAGCATTATACCTTCAAAAAGATTATCTAGTAAAACAGAATTTTTCATACAATTAAAAACAAAACAACAAAATTTAGAAATTTTTTTTACATTTGCATACATATATTTACAATTATTTTCATACATAATTTATGTCATAATAATAATGATAAGATGCGGGCAATGAATTATTTGCTGTTTTAGGTTTGGTTTCAGAATCGGCGAGCAAAGTGGCGGAAACAAGCACGACTGCAATTGTTACAAGATGCATGGAGAATGAGATGCTTGGGATTAGGAAGTGCAGCACCTCTTCTTTTAAGGCCGCCACCGACAGCATCGTTGGAACGACCTGATGCTGCAACACCACCACCGCCACCACCGCCACCTCCTCCACCTCCACCGCCTTCAGCTTCTGCTTCTACCAACGGACCAACTCTGACTAGCAATGATAAAATACCTGACACTTCGACGTTATCTGTTTGCAGAGATTACAGAATTCTTCCACCCCCTCACGGGTAACGAAATTACTTTCTTTTAATTGTATAATTTAAAACGACTAATTTACAAGTGATCTTCATAGAATATACTTTTCAGATCTTCTCTCTTTTTTCTTTACACATGCATATGATAAAAAATTTTCTGAACATGCGTGTAATAAAAAAAAGAATTATAGTGAAATTTTTTATTTTTTTTTTTTTTTTGTCGTTTCTTGAGATTTTACATCGTTAGCTGTATATGTGTGTATATGTGTGTTTTAAATTAGAACTTTGGTTGATTTTTTTGATCTCAAAAAAAAAAAATCTAAAAACATTTAATAAAATGGAATATTACACTTCGTGCAATTTTGATACTTGTATTTTAATTGAAAGCTATCTAAACTAGAAAAAAATATTACATGATATTACAATCAAAAAGTAACAAATTATATAAATATAGAAACAATACTGCACGAAGTAATATAGTGAAAGATGAAAAGGAAAGCTCTTAGCTTTCCAATTTTACATTGTTTTGGTTTCTGAATCATTTGAATGTCTCTAAAAGATATAGAATAATATATGCAAGCATTTCGCTATTTTAGCTCTCAATATTATGGAACAAATTATTGTCACACAATAAAAAAATTACAAAGAAGTTTGGAGTGCAAACATGGAACCTCACAATTTAGAATACTCTTTATCTTCAACTCTTTTGTTCATGTGAATTAGTAGTCTTTCGAAGCAGAACGGAATAGTGCAAAGGCAACACTTTAAATGAAGATAAACGTTTGAAAAATCGTGATAAATATTTGAAACGAAAAAGAAGAGTATGATTGAAAACTTACTGGAAAACAAATTGACGTTTACCATTCCTCTGCAGAATAAATCAGTAATATAAAAGTTTGTCCTTGGTAAATGTCATTGGACAATTTTTGTTTTTCTACTTATTTGCAGCATTAGATAATGTCAGTTAGATACTTGGATATTCTTTATTGCCAATATTATCTCAAATATTTCAGTATTACTTTGTTTACATCTGGGCAACATTTTTCAACAGAAGACATTATGATTCTTTTTATTCCTGAATTTTCATTCTTATAAAACGAGGCAATTGTTATGTTTCAGATATTCTTTGACCTGTGAAAAGTCTCCAGAGAGAATGAAGTGTGGTTGTGGCTCTCCACCAAGAATATGCGGCAGTCCAGTAGAAAGAGATATCAATTTAACTGTTAGAGATAGGCCTCAAGAAGCTGAGATGGATCTCACTGTGAAGGGTCCACCTCGACACACACCGATTGCTACTTTGTTCCATCAGCTACCCCAACAAGAGCTCAGTCCTTCGCAAAATGCTGACGAGCCTCTGGACGTTACACTTAATGCTAACAAAAATAATTAATTGTTTTTTGTTACCTTAGTTTTATGTAACTTAGTTTCTTATTCGCGACTCACTTATTATTTCTTTGGTTTTTCACTGGAAAAAGATAAATTACGATGGACAAACCAGCTGTTAAGAAAAAAACTTGTTCCAAAGGTATGTCGTTGAAATTTCAAGTAAAAATGCTATTTACAATTATATTAAAATACGCATGTAGTTAGTTTGAAATTCAATATTTCCTTCACTGATAACTTTCACTTTGTATTTACAATATTATTCTTTGGTCTGGACAATATTACATAAGCCACGTTAAACGTAGCACTTTAGATAACTTTATCAGTCTTTTAATTGCTCTTCTATATTCTCTTCTTGCTCAATATTTTACAAGATTACAAGATATTTATTGTCTTATATACATATATATATATATATATTTCTGTTGGGATAAACAAATATAGTTTATTTTCTTTTCCATATATGTAACTAGAAATGTACATATATATGTTTTCTACATTGTCTTTACTAAATTATATTCATTAATATAAATATATTAGTAAGAATGACAATTAATTATACAAAATGTACTATTTATTATTTTGTAATAGTCACAACATTTCTTTTTCTTTGAAAAATATGAAAAGTAGTGAACTTGTAAAAGTTACATGGAAACATAATGAACAAATTTTTTTATAAAGACAGACATTCGAAAAATACTTTAATGTCAGTTTTTTATTTCTTAATTGTTACGACCTAGTCATAAATTTTATTTTGTTATTAATAAATATTACCCATTGAAATAAATTTCACATTTATTTACATTTTATTGATAACAATGTAAAATACGTTCTAAATCTTGAAATATACACAAGAAGCACTTTTTCAAAATTCTAAAACTAAAATAATTGTCTTGTAAGATAGTACTACATATTGTTTCATGCAAACATTGAATACTTTTTCCGTTTGTATAAATATTACATTTTTTTTAAATTGTTACCCTTTGTTAATTGTATTGCTAATAAAAAACTAATGCAATAATAATGATAAAACAATAATTGTACAAAAGATTAACATCTTTATTATTTAATGTATATTATGATTTCATAGATAAAGAACAAAAGAAGTGTCACCATTATGATACTGTACTTCTATGTTACTAACAATCACGTTACAAATTTTGATATTTAAGTAAATTTGAAAAAGTGATAGTATTTAATCTTTCAAACAAACGCATAATTAAAATAAAAACATGTTAACAAATTATATTTCGTAATTATCAATGCTACAAATTTAAGAGTCAAACATAAACTATTTGATTTACTTCTCTTTATTTAACAAAAAATATTATTGAGTACTTGAATACGGTTCCCGCCGTTTTTTGTTAAAACTTAAGGTTTTATTAACACAGACAAATAAACAACACCTCGCGCAAAGTATTTTTTACCGTCGTTAACATTTTGCCTTCAGGCATAAAAATAAATGAATCCCATGATAAAAAAAATTGTTTTTTTGAAGGGATCTGGTGAATACGTCGGGTGGGATAACATATCTAATGCTTCCTTGATTGGTCTTGCTAAGTGTGGTCGAGCATTGTCATGTTAAAAAATGATTGTCATGCCTTTTGGCATATCATGGACGTTTTTCAACCGCACGACTCAAATTGATCATTGCTTTTTGAATAGCAGTGATGCAGCAGTTCCAACAGTTCATAATACACCATGCCCTATTAATCCCACCAAATACACAATATGACTTTGGTTTCTTTCTTCTTAGGTATAGTAATGAATCCATTTTTTGTCACAAGCAACAATTTGCATATGATTAAACGGTCCTTCAACGTCTCTGTCTTTCAAAACATGTGGCTTATGACACAGTTATGACATAGTCCCAGTAGTCTTGCTTATGAATACATCCTGCTGCTTTAAACGCTTGCTTACAATCGATTCATCAACATTTAACAATTTTAACAATTCTTTAAGCGTTTGATGCGTATCTTCACTTAGTAACGTTTCCAACTCTTCATCTTCGAATTTTCTTAGTGTAAGAAAATTATCCAGAGCGTTCTTTGTCTTTCACAACATAGTCGTCTTCTTAAAATCGAATTGAAATCCTTCTCTACAAGTTCTATCACACGGAGGATTAATATAAGTTTCTACACTCTCAGCTGCACTTTTCTTTAAAATGAAATAATGGAATAAGACCTCTTGTAAATATTCTTTTGTCGGCATGAAATTCAACATTTTCAGTGCAATAGAAAAATTTGTTGTTGACAGTGCATTCAAATGGCTTGTATTGAATCTTAAAGCTTGCTTGTACAAAGATTCATCAAACTACTGCACACAGTACCATTAACTATCAGTAAGCGACGGAAACTTATTCAAGTATCCAATATATCCATTTTAGAAAACATAATTTAGATTTACATAATTAAAAAAAAATATAATGTTACTAATGTCAATATTTAATTTTTAATTTCTTTAAATAAAGAAGAACATGTATTATTACGATCAAAAAGATTAAAAATTAAAAACCATATATACTACTGCTAAAAAGTTGTATTAATTCAATTTAAATGTTCTATTTTTGTTGAACATTCTAAGTGAAAATATATATGCATGATCCAACTCATACCGTCATTCAAAGCAATTTTTCCCTAATTTTTACAAAATTCATAAATTAACAATCAAATAACTTATACTTAACAATCAAAACACAATAACATGAGCACTGTAGATAGTGCATTATTATTATATTTGACATATGTTGATTATCAGTATATTTAACATTCTTGATTATCAAAAATTTGACAAACAGATTGATGTTTTTGTAAATTTTTTCTCTGGGCTATACATTTTCACTTTGAATCTTTATATGTAGAATATACGTTGTGGAAAAAAGAATATAAATTTCATTGATTCTTTATTTGCTTATCTTACTATGTTTTACTATAAGATATTACTAAGGAATTAGTAAGGATTAGAAGATTATCAAATGACAGAGATTACTTTTCTATAGCTCTACAGGTCACGTAAAAACAATAACCACATTTCAAAGCAAAGGAAGTTATGTCTGTGGGACCTGTATTTGTCATTGCCATTTAAAAAGTATTGCATAATACTAACTTAAATTCCAACAAAAAAATTGCTCTGCAATGTAATTTTTGCATAACAAGGACTGATTTTATTCGCGAACTCGACTTCCAAGCTTTTTAAAAAAATAAACAAATAATATTTAAGGAGAAACATAACTATATTAAAACAGGTAATAATCAATTAACCCTTTCACGATGGCGAAATTAGCCACTGACGAATGGGTCGTCGTACCATTGGTGCACACCGTACACATTAAGAGTGTCTCGCGTTTTTGGAGCTCACAATCCGTGTAAAATCTTAGAGGATTTCGTTGGAACAGCAGAGGACTTAAGGATATACTAGATAAAGGGAATGTTGTTAAGGCCTTGTTTTATACGTGTGTCCAGTTAGGTTCCATTAGCGAGATCCAATATCTGCACATTCGGGCCTTATAGTACTAGATCCACTGTAAACAATAAAGTCTTGT